GATGATATTGATATAGCAATGTATTTTGAGGAAACTTCTCGCTGCAGCGAGGATATAAGTAACATATACAGTAATGCGGAGACAGTATCTTTAAGGGATGGAGACTCTTTTAAAAATTTTGAAGAAGCTGAAGCTCATATATGGCATTTTGCTAAGCATAAAGGGTTTAAGGTACAACTTGGGCATTTGAAAACAGTAAATATGGCAGAAAATAAAAAGGCAACTCGAAAACCGACTATTCTTTACAAGCACTTAGGTTTATTTAAACCAAAAAATAGTGCAAGGCAAAGTACTTCGACCTGTATAATATGTCCATGGCATATTAACCTTTCACGTCCTTTAAGAGATAATTCTGGTTTTCGCGTAATTGTTATCACTTTTAATGATAATCATAACTATGATCTATCTTATGAAGCAATACAATTTGAAAAAAAAACAGTTTACTGAAGAAATGCGGCAAGAAGTTGAATTTCTGGTTACTAAGTGCCAGCTTGGCGCAACCATGGTGCAATGTATCTTAAAGAAAAAATTTTCATCTCATCTTCTGTTTTCTAAGGATCTTTACATTAAAATACAACGGTATCAACCATCAAATAATGTAATTAAAAATGATGCATCACATTTTTATGCCCAGTTGTTGTCAAAACAATGAGAGGATTCTCGCTAGTTTATTGAAATTATATAGGAAGATGAAACTAATATATTAACAAATTTGTTTTGGATGAGTCCAGAACAAATTTTGTTATGGTATGAGTTTGGTGAGTCAATTGGTCATGATAACACAGTGGGTACCAATAGATACAACATGCTACTTTCTTTGTTTGTAGCTCAGGATGATAATATGCAATCTTGTATCATCACTCAGGCTTTTGTCAGTAATGAGACAGCTAAAACATACCAATGAGTTCTTCAAATGACAAAAAAAGCCACTAACAATAGATACCCCAATGTTTTTGTAACCGATAGTAATCCAGCAATGGAACGGGCAGTAGTACTAGAGTATCCAGAAATGCAACATCTTTTTTGTATTTGGCATGTTAAGGAAAATATAAAAAAGATGTTGCGTAGTAAGTTAGGGGGTTCATTTGATGAGTTTTACAGTAAATTTTGGCAATGCAAAAATGCAGATACGTTACATGGTTTTGAGTACTATTAGGAGCAACTTATAAGTTTTCCTAATGCAAGGTTGTATCTTGAACATTACCTTTATGAATATCAGTTTTCATGGGCATGTGCTTTTACTGCGACGGCATTTACACTAGGAATTCAATCTACGTCTTTCGTCAAAAGTCAAAATGTATACATCAAGAGAGTATTAGAAAGCAGTAATACATCTTTGTGTGAGTTGAATAAAGTACTGATAGAACGAAATATTGAGAAGCAAAAACAAAAGCAATTTGAAGAATGGAAACAGAATACTCCTTCTTCAACAAATGTTGTTACTATTTTTCCTGCTATTTAAGGCTGAACGTTTCTCATTTTTTAATAGAACAAATGAAGAAAAGTTTGTATTATATGGCTAGTCATCCTACAGTTGAAGAGGTCGAGTCACTTATCATTTGTGAATCATCACAAAGTAAAGACATGGATGGTGAACTTGATGCTGTTAATTTATCAGCCAAATGTCTTCTGGATTGTTTAGAACAAAATACAATTGAGGAGATTTGGAAATTGTCAAGGGTTACAAGCAGTAAAATTAATCATTTTGTATTTTTTCTTTCTAACGGCTCATATAGTTGTACATGTCTTTTACAACAAAAAAAGGTCTTGTTTGTCAGCATTTTTACTATTTGCTAAATATTACAGAGAAGGCACAGTTTAGTTTATGGCTAATTGCCAAGCGCTGGATTCCAAGAGACCAATGATTAAGTGTTGCAAAGGAGGGTATATACTTTGGTCAAAGGTTTGGTAATACCATTACCAATATAGATACTGCACCAAAGAATATTGAAGGTCGATTTGTGTGGTTATAGCTATTTAACAATAATGAAACAGGTGAAACCACAAATGAAGAGTATATTAATGAAATGCTTTTTTATGGGAAAGTTTGGGGCCTTGTACATACTGCTGTAAACAAATGCATATTACATCGTGACTATGAATTTGTTTGTTTAATCGAAGAGTATTTGAGCAGGATTCATATTAGGGAAGATGAATTGATCAGAGAACAAGAAACCTTGATGCATACTTCATTTAACAGACATACTATTGAAGACATACCACTTGCGAATCCCCGAAAAGTTACTGTTAAGAGAAGACCAAAAGCAGAAGTCACAAGAATGCTGCAAAAATTACATCACAAGATACAGGAAATAAAAAGAAACGTGGACAATACACTTGCAGATTTTGTAAAGAGCCAGGCCACAATGTAGCAACTTGTCCAAATAAGGTAGTGAAGTAAGTATATAGGGTTGGTAAGAATTGATTATTGTAACATTATACTAGAGATTATTTGTGCGTATATGCATTTATATGTATCATTTGATTGCTTTGTTGTTTGCATGTTTTGCTTGATTATTTGTGCATGTGTATATTTGTATGTATCATTTTCACATTTATAACTTAGAGTTATTGACAAGAATTGGTTGTGGGGTTAACATATGCTTTATTGTATGTTCC